CTTTTCCATGACATTCTAATTTACTGAGATGCACCTGTATATATTGGTTCATAAACATTTCTGTTGCTCAAACAGTAGATCATGGCCCTGGTAAAAATTTATACAATACCTTGTTTACAATGTAAGTTGCTTTGGACATCTGCCGAATGGATAAATGAGAATTAATATATAATAACAGAAATAATACATATATATACTGAAAGAAAAAAATCTGTTTATAAAGAATAGTAGAAAGTTAATACCATATATATATATATATATATATAGATATGTACTCCAGTAATCTCCAAGTGTGTTAATTTTAGAGCGAAGTCTGAAGATTCACCATCTTTGAATTATTTATCAATGTCTAAATGATGTGGTGCTGCTAATTTTTGTTGATTCTGCGTCTGGTTTGCGACTACCAGTGCGACTAGGCAGATGCCTGTTGAATTTTTATGAATCGCCTCTTGAGCCAAGGCTGAGATACCTCACTCTCTACAATTATGCAGATCTGAGCACCTTAGGGACCTAGGTATGTAGAGAGCTTTTGCCATTTCTCCGCCAACCCTTTAAAAAAAAGCGACACTCTACCTGAATTGCACGCTCCAAAAACCCTGTGTTACCCGTGAGCAATGCCGATTGTGGCTGGGGGGAATTCCCGGAAGTCCTAGCATTGGGAGGATCGGCAAAGGGAGAGGATAAGGGTTGGGAAAGATGAGAGGAGTAAATCCTTGTTACATGTCTGCTAATAAAGAATTACCACCTTTTTATTGTTGCTGAGCCTTAAAAAAACGACGACCCTTGCAAAGTCTGCTAATAAAGAATTACCACCTTTTTATTGTTGCTGAGCCTTCAAAAAACGACGACCCTTGCAAAGCCAAGCAGAGAATTGCTTTTGAAAATTGCTTTTCTCTGCAGCGGGCCTCTGGTGGGACTACAGAGAAAGAAGCCAAGCAAATGACAATGTACTGTGTTTTAGTGGCCATCTTAGATTCCCGAGGGCAAATAGTCCATTCAAAGACTGTTTCCTACTTCATCCAGTTCAAATCATGAGTATTCTAAGCAATTTGGGGGAGGGGAATGAAGAAGATCCGTTTATAAATGT